CTTCACCGCCCACCTCTCCATCGCCCGCTCTCCACCGCCCACCTCTCCACCACCCCGCTATCCAACGCCGTCCCTCACCCGCAATCTCCGCCCCGCGCGCTCACACACCGCACTCTCCACCCCGCGTGATCACACACCACGCTCTTCGCCGCGCGCCGAAGCCATGAACAACAGACCTCACTTAGCAGGTGATGAAAGCTGTTCGGGTCCCGCGAGGCACGTACTTCAAGCACGCGGTCGGCACGACTGGTCTCGACGAGCGCCAGCGCGGGGCGATCATGAGCTACAACGCTTCACTGACTCAGTGCCCGCAGCGCTCGTGCGGGAACTACCTCGAAGATGGCCACGTCGGCGCGCACGTGCAGATCGAAGGTCACAGCGGCATGTGGATTATTCCTACTTGCAAAGACTGCAACACCGAGGCCAAGAACATCGCGGACGTCAACGTGTACAACACCAACGAGTGGGTCGACTTGACGCAAGGCGATTCGGAATACTGAGCCGACGCTGGTCGCAGAGCTGGCAGGACCCGGGGCCGTCAGCAGTCAGGCGGTGATGCGCCTACTGTCCATTTCTCTGCTTACTTGAAACGAGGCTTCTGTTAGGGACCCGGCTTTTTCTTTGTTTCCCCGGGCGGGAGAAGTTCCTCTGTGGTTGGTTCTTGTGTTTGTTGTAAAATTCTTGTGTCCAGACCGCTCATTATTTTTTTGAGCTTAGCCTTCGATGTTATGAAACAACGCAAGGCGGACATGGCATATCGCTCTCGGGCCCACAGACATCCCGCACACTCGCCGCACACCCGCCGCCCCCGCGCGCGCCCCGCCCCGGCCGGGAGAAAGGGGAGTGACAGTTTGGGACGGCAACAGAACGAGTATGTTGAGTCCTGGCTCAACAACGCAGAGAGAAATGAAAGCCGTCCGGCTCACAAGTCCGGCTCACGCGCCCCGACTGACCGATCTACCGCACTGGCCACTTCCGCCCCCTTGCTCCCAACCCATCCACCTCGCCTCGGGCCGCGCCGCGCGATCTCGGGCGATCTCGCGCGATCTCGGGCGATCTCGGAGCTCCACGCCGCGCCTCTCCACCCCGCCCCACCTCACCCACCGCCGCGCCGCGCTATCTCGGGCGATCTCGGAGCGTCGCTCGCGCGGCGTCACACCTGCTCAAAAAGGAAGGAGGTTGGAGGCAGGAGGTCACGCCCCATCCAGAGCGCCGTCGTCGCCGGGTTTTTGGCCCCCGGGTCGTCGCCCGACGGTTGCTGCGCGGGGCAGCAGACCATCGGACGGCGCGACGACGCCCCGTCCGGCACGCTCCCCCCTCCACCCGGCTATTGCCGCACGAGCGCCCTCAGCGGCGGAATTTTTCCCTCGCGCTTCCTTGGGCCCCCGGCAACGCCGACGGACTTCCCGCCCCCCCACCTGCGCCCCTTGGCGCCTGTGCATGTCCCGCGTGCCCGCCCGCCAAGGCTGGTGCCAAGGCCAACTCAACTGCCAAGGCTGGTGCCAGGGCCAAGTCAACTGCCTGGCTGGTGCCAAGGCTCAAAGGCTCTCCTCTCTCTCTCTCCTCCCTCTCTCCCTCCCTCCCTCCCTCCCTCTCACCCCCCCCCTCTTCTCTCCTCTCCCCCTCCTCCTCTCTCCACTCTCCTCCTCTCTACTCTCCTCTCACTCTCCTCTTCTCATCCTCTCCCCTCTCCTCCTCTCCTCTCTCCCCCCCGTCTCTCCCCCAGCAGCTTCCTCGAGGCCGAACAGGTAGATCCTCCCTGATCGCTAAGCTACCACAGGGGACGGCCGGGTAGTAGACGTCGTCCGCCGCCGCCTCCGCCGCCCGCGTGCCTCCGCCCCGCTCAGCAAAAAATCAGCATTATATCAGGAGGTGCCAAAGCCGCAGCATCTCCATGAGGTGAGCGTCGTGCGTTTTGCCGCCGCGTGCCGCCGCTGCGCCGACTGGCTCCCGGTTCGAATCGTCCTTCGCGGAGCGAACGCGGCGACACGTGCGCACGTCGCGCGCGTGTGCGCCTGCGACAAGACGAGACGAGAAGGAGAAGTAGTCGTTGATGCTTTTGCTGCCGCGGCCGCGCCGCGAGCTCGCGTCTGTTTTGGCGCCGACGACGCGACGCGCCCCGCTGCGTGGGATGGCGCCGCCGCGGAGTCGGCGCAGCGCGGCCACCATGCGGCGCGACGTGCCCGCCGTTCTTTTTCTTATTTTTTTTTGTCGTCCGTGATAGTTGAGCTTTGTGTTGTGTGTTGTTGCGCCCAACTGCGCAACTAGGCGTCGGCTCGTACTGACTGGGGCCCGCATACCACGCCATTCGGCAAGTGCTCTTCGATGTCTTCTGCCGCCGAGCCCCTGCTACCAATGGCCCTGGAAGGCGCCGGGAGCAGCTCGCACATCGACCTGATTCTCGAGGACATTGAGACCCAGCTCCTGCGTGTGGAAAGGGCTGCGTCGGCGGTGAAAAAGATATTGGGCGTAACAAACAAGCTTCTTCTCCTGCTCCAGCTTGTGGCCTAGATGGCGGGATGAACCCTCTAGCAGCATCTCTAGCCAGCAGATCTCACATCTCTGGCTCGATCACATCGCCTCGTCACACGTCACCCATGATCGTCGCCCCGCTGGATCTGCAGGCTGAGCACCTCTTCCCTCATTGCTGCGGCTGTCGCCCTGCACATCAGCCAAGAGACGATGGCTGTTGTTGGGGTGGTGAACGGGATCGCGGTGGGGATCGAGAAGAAGCTTCGCCTCGAGGCCAAGGAGGATGGCCTCGAGAGCGTGCTCGCGGAGATTGAGACGCTGCTGACGGAGACAAAGCACGCCGCGATGGAGCACAGGCACGGGCAGTTTGATAGTCATGAGATGTCCAAGCTACAAAAGGACTTCAAGCGGCTGCTGGCCAGCTGCTCGCACCTCATGCAGCTTTGAGCTGCTCGCACCTGCAGGCAGCGCCTGCTGTTTACTTCGAGGCATTCGCAGCGGACGCTAGCTACATTGGAGAGCTTCGAGGATGGATTGACAAGGACACGAACGAGGAAGACGCAACGGGGGGAGCCGGCGGAGGCGCAGTGACGTGACCCCCCCCCTCACACAAACCGCTCAGGGCTCACCCACGCACTGTGGGCCTTCGTTGGCAGACGGCACTTTATTTACTGTACTGTACTGGATCCTGCCGATTTTCCTGTCTTTTTTTTAGACGT